GAAGAGCCAGAGGGGAAAAAAATAAAAAAAGACAAAAAAATTATTTTCGAGGGATTCGGGGCTGCGGATCACAATCGCTGCCCCGGCACATGATCCATGGCGATCCCTCCGGGTAGTGTTTGCATCTCGTTTCTTGCTGAGGTGATACGAGCAGGGACATTGCGCCCCGAGCCTGGCAGAGATGAATAGGGCTTGTTTCGGATCGATAGAAAATTCATCAGCTAATTCGGGGTACCCGGTCTCCTAAATCACATTTAGCTGTGGCTTTAGATTGACTGTTTCCCACGCACGGATGGAAAAGGAGCCCGTCCTCCAAGCAAGAAATCAAGGACTTGATGAACAATTACAAAGAGAGTTAACCTAAATCCTAATGCATCTTCGCCTCGCCTTTATTGAATAAAGACACTTTAAAAGCAACAGCAAAACAACAGCTTTTCAAATGCCACCCTTAAATACTCAAATTGGTGTTTAATTCCGAAACGCACAATAATTTCTTCACAGGCAGCAGGAAAGAGAGTACTATTTTGTTGGGTATCACTGCTGAGATTACACAAACTAAAGCAATGGTGGGACTCTCGCCCCTCGAATCGCGGTAATACTGCCCCTCTCCCCCTCTCCCCCCTCCCCGCCTGTGCAGCTCAGATTTTATCTCGAAGTGATGATAAAGTTTATCGCAGGAGTGCTGGAGTTGGGTTAAGGTCAAATCCAAAGTATTTCTTTTCAGATATAAAGCGCCTTTCTGTTTAAGACCTTGCTTTCACCCTTGTATTTAGTTTTCCTTTTTTTTTTTCCTTTTTTTTTTTTTTTTTGCCTTCTGGGATTGTGACCTGTAGTGTTTGTGTCAACTACATATTCCCCTAGATACGAATTTGTGACCCAACTTCCTTTACACAAATTCGGATCTACAGGGTACATATAGAAGACAGATGAATCCTCCTTGGTCAGAGATCTTCTACTTCTCCTACTGTCATAATTATCTTCTGGGGAAAAGGGACGGGGGAGCGTTAAAGTTTGCAACTTACAGAGATCAACAATTAATCTATTGATAACGAGGGTTAAAAGATTCACTTTTCAGAGGAAACACAATTAAAACATCAACTCAAAATCCGAATAACTGATAATCTAGATTAGAAGAAATAGCGCTTTTCTACCTTCATACCTTATGCATTAGTTTACTGTTGTTCTAAAAAATCAATCTCCTGGACTGATATAAGTAGAGACTTACAACGAGACCAGAATCCAAATAACCGTGCTTTAAAAGTAAAATGTGATAGCTTCGTCTGCCTCAATCGTGATAACCTCATAATTATTCTCTTATATGCAGTACAAAGATTTCATCAATTTTTCGTTCTTGGAGGTCAACCAAGGTTTTAGTTTATACGTGTGTGTGTGTGTAAATTATCAAAAAGAAAGAAACAGATGAAAAGAAATACAGAATGTAAAGGCAGATGGGACGACAGGTTTTTTTTTTAATGACAGGCAATTCTTTTTACAACCCGAGAAAAAGATCAAAGGCGTTTCATTTCCGAAAAAGGGATATAAAGCAATAAAATATTCATACTGTCTAGGTAATGAACCTTCATTCGGAACTAATGAGGGTAGCATCATGTTGAGATTTCGTTTAAAATTACTGTTGCCCAAGAGATTAAAAGTATAACATCCTCCCCTAATTTTGGTTTTGTGTATTTCAAAAGAGAGAACATATTTTTGGTCAAGTATTTCTCGAATTAATTGGTATTTAAATGCCACAGCAGAGAGGCTTTGAGAAAAATGCTGCATTTGCTTTACATTAAAGTTTTGACTACAACCACTTTATCCCTACTCTTGCAATAAATACCTCAAATATATATTTAAAATGCCTACTTTTTTCCTATTAAATGGGAAAAAAAAACAGTTACGGCCAAGATTGAGTGCACATAGTTTGTCTGGGACACATTATGCCCTAAGATTTTTTCAGGAACTTTAAAGTGAACAGTTGGTTTTCCTGATAAAAAGCGTCTCGTTCCCGAATGAACGGATAAACGAACACGTATTTTAAGAAGTAAGTTCAGGTCCACCTAGGACAATCCCCGAACCATTTCACACGCCTGTACGAGAGACAGGTTTCGAGCAAAAGAAACAGAGCACAGTGCAGTGATTTCTTGAAGACGCTTTTGCACAGAGCAAGCAGTTTTCAATCTACATAAACGCTCCCAGCATCTAGACTTTGCTGGGGAGCGGACAGCAAATCTGAAATTTACCTTCCCCTGTAAAACTTGCCATAAAAGTAAGAAGCCAGATCAAATCTGCTTGTATAACGTGTAGATGAATGCCATAAAATAATTCTGCAGAACTAATCCCATTAGAGTTCCTTTTTTCCTCTTAAATTTTATTCCTCCTTTCCAATTCCACTCTGATTTATTTTATTGTATTTCCTTTCAGTCCATACCGTAGCGACCTCCTAAGCGAGTCCCGTAAAGGATACAAATCTGGATAGAAATATCTAGGCCTATTCCTGATTTTTAACCCCCTCCCACATGCTTTAAAAAAAAAAACAGTTTTAATTTTCCTTTCCAATGACGGACAAAAGGGGTTTGGTGCTAGCAAACCAGCACCCCTAGCGTTTACCAGAAATCTTCCCCCCACCACACCTCCAAGAAATCTCACACTACCCTCTTGTGATCCCAAATTAAAAAGAAAAGGAGCCCCGGCCCCCCCTCCCACACACCTTTCTGCCTTTCGCTCAGAAATCCGCCCCACGTTGCGGAAGTTTCCCACGGCAGATTGCGCCCAGGCTCGTTTCCATTTCAAAGCAGGGCTTGGCCGGGGGGGGGAGGCTCGATCCCCCCCGTTCGCTCC